ACCCTATGCATATACCTTTCTTTTGCAGGTAAAATGCATCATTGAACGTGACAATTGTGGCTGACAAGTAGAACTTCAGTAGTTCTAAAAAAGATTCGACCTGAACGCCACATTGATTCTGAAAGGAGATGGTCCCGTTTTCTTCGATGGATTCCCTTACGGCTGTGAAGAGCTTGACGTGCGGAATGGAGTAGAACAAGTCTTCAACATCCAGGGAAAACCCATAGCGAACAGACGTGTTGTTTTGCTGCAGATATTGAACCAGCACGTCAGAATTTGAAATCAAAAAAGGGTCATTCAGTGGAAGGGTAGACAGATGACGGAGGAGGAATCGCGACATATTGGCCTGCCACGATCCTTTTTCTGTTACAATGACTCGGAAAGGACATCCTAGCTTGTGCGTTTTTGCAGTAAAAAACATGTCCAGTTGGTCTTTTTTTGATGTGGAGATAAGCTTCCTTAGAGGCACCAAGTCCAGGCGGCTGCACAACTGAATGGCCTTGGATTTGACAGCCTTCGCTCTGAAGCCTTGCAACTGGTTGAAACTCTTGTCTATGGCACACTGGGTTTTTTCTAGGTAGATAGCTCTATTTGTTACAACGAACCCCCCTTCCTTGTCAGATATAATTAGGTTTAATTCATTTTTTCTGAAATAATCAACAATCGGATAAAACACTGTCTGGCTTCCTTCAGAGGCAGTAGCTTTTTGCAGGACTTCAACACAGTCTTCTATGCATCTGGATTTATTATTTTCATGAGTTTTGGAAGCTATGTCGTGCACAGTTGACAAGAGATGAACACCTTCCCTTTTTGGAGGAGTGCAAAATTTTGGACCTTTTTCAAGGGCCTTCGTAAATTCTTCAGGTAAAGAAGGGACATCCAGCAATGTGACACACTCGCCTTTTTGCTGCTTGCTTTGGGCACGAAGGCTCTTGAGTTGAGGCACGTACGACAACCAGATAAACTCCGTCAGCCTGCTTGCTGCTTCCAGGAAGGCCTTGTGTCTTTGTCCTTGACCGCCATCGTGGTACCCGCCTGCAAATCCAAGAGGATTTGCAAATCCTCTTGGATTTGCGAATCCTCTTGCCTGCAAATTTACCTGCAAATCCAAGAGGATTTGCAGAATTGTTCGATCTGAGATGTGGCGACAAGTCCGGTACTACAGAACTTGCCTCTGGGTGATGGCTGGCTGCGGGTACCACGATGGCGGTCAAGGACAAAGACACAAGGCCTTCCTGGATGCAGCAAGCAGGCTGACGGAGTTTATCTGGTTGTCGTACGTGCCTCAACTCAAGAGCCTTCGTGCCCAAAGCAAGCAGCAAAAAGGCGAGTGTGTCACATTGCTGGATGTCCCTTCTTTACCTGAAGAATTTACGAAGGCCCTTGAAAAAGGTCCAAAATTTTGCACTCCTCCAAAAAGGGAAGGTGTTCATCTCTTGTCAACTGTGCACGACATAGCTTCCAAAACTCATGAAAATAATAAATCCAGATGCATAGAAGACTGTCTTGAAGTCCTGCAAAAGGCTACTGCCTCTGAAGGAAGCCAGACAGTGTTTTATCCGATTGATGATTTTTTCAGAAAAAATGAATTAAACCTAATTATGTCTGACAAGGAAGGGGGGTTCGTTGTAACAAATAGAGCTATCTACCTAGAAAAAACCCAGTGTGCCATAGACAAGAGTTTCAACCAGTTGCAAGGCTTCAGAGCGAAGGCTGTCAAATCCAAGGCCATTCAGTTGTGCAGCCGCCTGGACTTGGTGCCTCTAAGGAAGCTTATCTCCACATCAAAAAAAGACCAACTGGACATGTTTTTTACTGCAAAAACGCACAAGCTAGGATGTCCTTTCCGAGTCATTGTAACAGAAAAAGGATCGTGGCAGGCCAATATGTCGCGATTCCTCCTCCGTCATCTGTCTACCCTTCCACTGAATGACCCTTTTTTGATTTCAAATTCTGACGTGCTGGTTCAATATCTGCAGCAAAACAACACGTCTGTTCGCTATGGGTTTTCCCTGGATGTTGAAGACTTGTTCTACTCCATTCCGCACGTCAAGCTCTTCACAGCCGTAAGGGAATCCATCGAAGAAAACGGGACCATCTCCTTTCAGAATCAATGTGGCGTTCAGGTCGAATCTTTTTTAGAACTACTGAAGTTCTACTTGTCAGCCACAATTGTCACGTTCAATGATGCATTTTACCTGCAAAAGAAAGGTATATGCATAGGGTCGTGCGTGGCGCCTGTCCTCTGCGACATTTTTCTGGCCAAATGTGATAGGGCTATAGCCGACAGGTTCACTGACGCACATGTCTCACACATTTTTCGCTACGTGGACGATTACCTTGTCCTCCTTAAACAACGACCTGTTAGCAACGAGAAGCAGTTTTTGAGCCACATACGATCCACCTTCATCGAGCAAGCAGAGGGTCTTAAGTTCACTGATGAATCACCGGAGAATGCCACCCTCCAGTTTCTGGATTTGAGACTTTCGTTCCTGCAAGACCACACCTGTTGGATGTATTCCCCACGCTCCAAGAAACGACTTTTACCGTATGACTCTGCTCATTCTAAACTCATCAAGAGAGCTATTGTCACTGGATGCTTCAGCACGGCTCTTAAAAAGTCATGTCCACATTCAGCGGGGGAGAGCTTTGACGCTCAAGTTCACCGACTGAGGTGTTCAGGTTTTCCTGACTCAATCTTATTTGATGTTGCAGAACGTCTGCTCACGTCACAGAAAAGACAACGAAAATCAGAAAAGACACGGCGTCCTGCTATTGTTCCCTATATCCATTGCTTGGCACACAATCTCAAGGGAGTAGCCTCCAAGTATGATGTACAGGTAGCACTTTCAGCACCGGACAAGCTCAAAAAACTTTGCCCAAGAATAAACAACACAAAAGAAGAAAATGTTCAAAGCCAAACAAGACACCAACATAAGTACGTGGACTGTAAGAGTCATGTCGTTTATGAAGTACCTTTTTCCTGTGGAAAAGTCTATGTGGGGCAGTCGGGTCGCTGCATCAATGTTAGATTGAGAGAGCATGACCTCTCACTGAAAGCCTCTCCATCTGGACATCTTGCGGTGCATGTTCGTGACTGTCATTGTACCCCTTTGTTTAATCAGACGAAGGTGTTAAAACATCTCAATGACAAAAGAGCTAGAGAAATCTATGAAGCGTACAAGATCAAGAAAGAAGAAAGCAAATGTGTTAGTGCCCCGTCAGTCTTCCTTTCAGAGAAAGAGCTGAGATACCTCGACACGTGCCCCTGATATTTGCGTCCTGCTGCTTGGTTACCGGCAACAGTGTCGCCACTCCATGCTGGAAGAATTTGCCGGTGTCCCGTGTGTGTGTGTGTGCGGCTACTGCAAGTGACTCATGTGTGACCAATAGATCTGCGGGATGGTCACCGGCAGCAGTTCGCCTCTTCATGCTCGCAAGGGTTTGCCGGTGTCTCGTGTGTGTGCTGCTAGTGCTGCTGCCTGCGCATTTGCCGATGCGATTCTGCAGATCTGCCTTTATTTTATTTTATTCTATTTTATTATTTTATTATTTTAATTTGTATTTTCACCTTAATTATTTTCGCTCTCTGTATCACTTCTTTTTTGTCAGTACTTTGTTCCCCTCTCCGGGTTTTGTTTTCTTTTTCTTTTTTCACCTTATAATTAAAGCCAGTTGTAAGTAGCGCTCTTTCCTGTCCTAACGTTCTTCCTTCCTTGTATTTGCGCTAATTTTCTCAACGATGTTGCTCATCCGGGCTAGCTAGGGGGCGCTGAGGGGATCTACTAGTGATGACGTTAGAGGAGGAAACGCGCAGGCCTTGTGTCCTAGGTGGTATTGACCATAGGCACTCGAACTGGCGTCTGCAAACACGTGAAGTTGGTGGCATGCAGAGGTATCAAAAAAGTTCTTCAACCCACATCTGGGAATCGAAAATGTCTGTAAAATGTCTGTGTTTTCTGCACTTTCTCGTCTTCGGTCCTTTGTCGCGCGCACATTCCTCCTCCTCGTTTTCAATATTTAACACCCCCCTCACTCACCACGACTCGCCAAGCGTAGCCAAGCGTCCCTCGACGCGCCGCCAGACGGCTGCTTTGGTAACTGAATCAGGATACGTACGTTTCAACGTTACTAGAAACGTAAAAACCAACGAAAAAAAAACTCTTTTTGTAGTAACTTTTATTGGAGTTTAGTACAAAACGGGGGGGGGGGGGGGGGGGGGGGGCGTGATGTTTTCTAAAATCTTTAGTTTGCAAGGTTTTGCAGTACAATTAGTATCGTTTTTATACAGCCATGCCTGAGCGGCGATTTCAGGTAGCGCGTCCCGGTCTAGGCTCATCTTAACTTCGGGGCATTTCGCGGCGCGTCCTCTGGGGACACGGGGGTGGCATCCCTGTGACCCTTTCCATTTTGTCTGTTTCGGCTCCGAAATGGCCTCTTGAAGCCAAAATAGATGTTACGTGCAGTTCCTTGATAACCGCTGCAGGATAAATGGCGGCGTTGTGATCGCCATTTAGCGCTTCAGCTGGGCTCTTGGGAACGCATAGTTATGAAACGAAAATATAGATGGCGCTTCGATCGACGTTTGGTGGATTGGAGTGAGTGAGGGGGGTACCCCCCTCCGCGGGAGTTCCACAACTGAGGTAATCTAATGACGTTGGCCTAGCGCCACGTTTTTGACGTCACGTTTTTAGTGTTGCCAGTATCACTGTGAAGCCTTTCAGCCCAAACTTTAAAATTCAATAACCCCACAAACAAGTATTATGACTTGTAACTTAGGTTACAATTTCGGCTGTGTCAAATAATGTGTTCGAGTAATTTTGAGGTAAATCAGTTTGGAAGTGAAGAAGGGCATTTTGCATCCACTGACGCAGCGAATTGTTTTTAGATATTTGCTGATAACAGAACATATTATTTTTTAATGGCGGCTTGCGAGTATATCATAGTGCGAGAGCCATCAACACCGTTACTTGATTCACGAGGGTTTCTGGCATGCACAGGTTACGACGCGTTGTCCCACCACAAAGGAGCCGAGTTCACCGTCAAGAACAGCACGACGGCCAAACCCGAGAAAGACGAGAAAGACGAGTGCTCCAAAAAACGTCTAAGTGGTGGATGGTGGTTCAAGAGATGCAACGAGGCAAATCTTAATGGACTTAAACTCACCTTCTATTTGCAAACAAAGCCCCTCGGTATTACCTGGAACATTAAAAGCGACATCGAGTCCCACTCTTACATCTACGACAGGGTGGAGATGAAGATCAGGGACGCCGACTTTGGTTTCTGCACGGGCTCTCTCAAATTCTAAATTATCTGATTATAATCCCTGCTTCGGTGGAAAAAAAAAACAAAAAAAACCCATTAAATTGCGGGGAAGTTGTTATTTACCATATGCTGCATGAAGTTCTCGCTTTTTGACGTTTCTCTGCAAACTTTGAAAATAAAATATCACTGCTACAAAGCACAGCTCGGTTGTCGTTGCTCTCCCGGCTATATCCCCATGGTGTAACTCGAAAGCGGTGGCCCCACTCTTTATACCTCTTAAAAAAGAGGCGCTGCAGACACTGCCCGAGGCCTTCTTTGTAATATGAAAACTCTTCTGAGACATGTTATAAGCATACATATCCACGAAGCACGCACGCTCCGCAACCTGATTGAGGCGTCTCCACAGATTATTCGGTCATCAGGTCTGCAGCCCCTGTTTATTGTATGATGCATGAGCAGTGTGAGAGCGGCTTTAATTCACCAAATGCACACCATTGGCGCCGACTTAGTCAAATCTAAATGAGCATTGTTCCAAATTACAGACACGACAGTTGTGTTTAGGCAGCGTCCTCTGCAGCCGTATATGTCTGCGTTGTAAAGAAACAACTTGGTCATTGCTGCACGGCTTACCAGGCGTGGCTGTTAAATAACGCGTAGCTGAACACTCGTTCTCCGCTCACATGTAGCCCTAGCCGTCCGAACCAACAAACGCCCGAGTGTCAGAACTGACCGTCATCTTGTTCAATCGTTTGAAGCGATTGGCTGAAATTCCCAACGGGAAAATGACGGGCGATGTAGCTCTCAAATGCATGGAGCCTAAGAGCGCCACTTACTGAAAACGGGCGACAACGGGCTGCATCTTACGCTGGAAATTTAAGAAAATCACGTTACTTTTGTATAATAGTGGTAACTTGGCCCAGTTAATGATACATTAGTAACAAAAAAAGTAACAAAAAATAGCCAAAAAGCTTACGGAGGACAGATAGAACGAGAGCCAAATGAGCGACCGGATTGTGTACCCCTTGGGTTTCCTCTTTTTCTGTGGCGCCATCTATGTGGAGCACCCCGAACTCTCACTCCGGGTGGGCGCCCGCTGGCGACCCGCTAAACTGACGGAGATGGTTTCTCGTGGATTTCCAACGAAAGATTGTCGTGCTCTCGGTTTATTTCGCGGACTCTCCCATAGAGTTCCACGCAAATTCGATTCGGATTTTTTTCCTCTCGCCGCAGCGCCATCTGTCGCAAATCGGGGATACCCGCAAGCAGACGAGTACACAATCCGGTCAAAATGTAAACATTTCGGCGGAACTCCGCCTGGTTAGGTAAGTAATAAGAAAAAGTACAACGTAGACTCTAACCGATTTCTTCAATGTGCCCGACGTTTCGAAGCCAGCTCGGCTCCTTGTTCACGGGTGACTGTATATGGGCCCAAAGGTAGCAACCTCTCGTCGTTTTCTTCTCTTCTCTCTTAGCTTTGTTTTCTTCTTCTGTTTCTGTGTGTGGCGCACTTTAGCCCGTGTTTATAGCTGCTTGGAAGCGTTCCGGTGGATCGGTTCAGGTTGTTGCTTGTATTTTGTATGTGCCAAGATTCTATTAAGAGCCGCTTTCTCCAGTTTCTTTCTGTGTCGAGGATGGAGCTGCTGTCAAAGCCAATTACGTGGCCGGTCTTCTGAGCATGTTCCGCCAGCGCGCTGCCTTGGATGTCATTCTTCTTTACGCCATACTTATGTCTACGCAGACGTTCGGGAAAGTTCTTCGTTTCCCCCACATAAGAGGCGTCGCATTTGGCACAAGGAATTTGGTAAATCAGGCCTTGAGCTTTTTCTTTTGGTGGACGATCCTTTGGAAGAGGAAGAAAATGGCCCAGAGTTGAGACAGGTTTATGCGTAACTGCTATGCCGTACGATCTCAAAACGCAGGCTAGGACCTCGCTCGTGCCAAGGACGCCCATGCGGCTGGAGGTGTTTTTGTTCTTGGATTTGGGAGGGTGACGAAGTTGTTTGTATATTTTGTTGACAAATCTCGGTGGGGTAGTTGTTTTTCCGAAGGTCTCGCTTTATAATATCGACTTCTATCTTAAGCGACTTCCTTGTTGAGCAGACCGTGAGGGCGCGTCGAAAGAGCGCCGACACTACAGAGGATTTGTGAGTTGTAGGGTGGTCTGACGAGAAGTTTAGGTAGCGACCGGTGTGCGTTGCTTTCCTGTATACTTGGAAGGATAAATGGTTTCCTGTTTTTTCCACTGCCACATCGAGAAATGGAAGGCACCCGTTTGACTCATGTTCAACCGTAAATTGAATGTCTGGATTGATGGAATTGAGATGTTTGTGAAGGCGATCGACTTCGCTGGACATTGCAACACAGAAGCAATCGTGCACGTAACGTAGAAACAGAGTCGGTGTGGGAGAAAATGTGCTTAAGGCTTTTTGCTCGATGGCTTCCGTTGTGAGGTTGGCGACAGTGACGGACACCGCGGCACTCATGGCTGTGCCACCATTTTGCTTGTAGTAGCGACCAGCGAAAGAAAAGTAGGTGTTTGTCAGGCACAACTCTAGTAGCCGACATATCTCATTCATCAAGAGGTGTGCTCTTTTAGGTAGAGACGTGCCGGCCTTGAGTGCCGTTCTGACAACAGACACCGCGAGTCGAATGGGAATACTCGTGAAGGGAGATACCACATCAAATGAAACAAGGCACTCGTCGTCGTTCAATTGCAGGTCCGAAGCGAGTTCGATGAAGTGGGCAGTGTTCTCGACATGTGTGTTGGTCTTCCCCATGAGTGGAAGAAACAGACGATGGAGATAGTTTGACAGCGCTTGTAATGGTGACGCTGTAAAGTCAACTATGGGACGAAGCGGAATGCCACACTTGTGTATATTTGGTAAGCCGTAGAACGCAGGAGTCAATCCGTTTCGGCAGATAAGACTAAGGTAGAGAGCCCGCAACTCCGGATATTTGTTGAAGACGGCGTAAAGCGCTTTGTTTAAGATTCCTTGAATTTTTGATGTCGGGTCTTTCGGTAGCATCATGTACGCTTTGGTGTTCAGAAGTGCGTGCACCTTCTCCTCATAGTCTGTGCGGTCCATCACCACTGTAACATTCCCTTTGTCAGCAGGAAGGATTACGATGCTGTTTTCTTCCTTTCGCTTCCTGAGGGCGGACTTTTCTTCTGTGCTATAGTTCAAATGCCTCCTTTGGTTTACCTTTGAAAGTACGCCAATGGCTTTCAAGCAAGCTTCTTCGCGGATGCAAGGGTCTAGTTTGTGTAAACCCTCCTCAACGGAAGCTGCCATAAGTGCGAGAGGAGGATGAACAGTGGTGAAGTTAAAATTCTTTCCTTTCGCCAAATCTAGTGTCTCGGTTGGGGAGAGTACCTTCGAAAAGAGGTTTTTGACGAAACCCTTGTTCAAAGTTTGGGGCTGTTGGGCCGACCTTGGTCGGCCCAACACCCCCCCAAACTTTGAACAGTCTGCTCAACACGTTGTCTGCTCAACTTTTGTTGAGCAGACAACACGGTCTGTTCAACAAAGAAGTCACTTAAGATGGAAGTCGATATTGTAAAGTGAGACCTTCGGAAAAACAACTACCCCACGAGATATGTCAACAAAATATACAAACAACTTCGTCACCCTCCTACATCCAAGAACAAAAACACCTCCAGCCGCATGTGCGTCCCGTACCTCCATGGCACGAGCGAGGTCCTAGCCTGCGTTTTGGGACCGTACGGCATTGCAGTTACGCATAAACCTGTCTCAACTCTGGGCCATTTTCTTCCTCTTCCAAAGGATCGTCCACCAAAAGAAAAAGCTCAAGGCCTCATTTACCAAATTCCTTGTGCCAAATGCGACGCCTCTTATGCGGGGCAAACGAAGAACTTTCCCGAACGTCTGCGTAGACATAAGTATGACGTAAAGAAGAATGACATCCAAGGCAGCGCGCTGGCGGAACATGCTCAGAAGACTGGCCACGTCATTGGCTTAGAGTGCCTTCATACACACGCGCACTTTTGCTTCAGTGGTGACATCTCGGCCATTTTTCCGCCCAATCGTTCTTTCTGTGCATTATGAAGTGCGCGCAATCCGGTGTCACTCAGCACGAGCGCGTAGCTTTGGCTAATGCATAGACGCCATTTTACCGCCCAAGTCACGCACCAAGTGCGCGAGAGCGTCACGCGCTGGCCCATTCAGGGCAACAATGGATGTCTTCACCCTGAGACAGACAGACATCTAGGCAGTCTACATTGGCTTTGACAGCAGCTCCATCCTCTACACAGAAAGAAACTGGAGAAAGCGGCCCTTAATAGAACCTTGGCACATTCAAAATACAAGCAACAACCTGAACCGATCCACCGGAACGCTTCCAAGCAGCTATATACACGGGCTAAAGTGCGCCACCCAGAGAAACAGAAGAAGAAAACAAAGCTAAGAGAAAAGAGAAGAAAACGACGACAGGTTGCTACCTTTGGGCCCATATAGAGTCATCCTTGAACAAGGAGTCGAGCTGGCTTCGAAACGTCGGGCACATTGAAGAAATTGGTTAGAGTCTACGTTGTACTTTTTCTTACAATCCGGTCACGGCGCTGCGGTAGGCTTCTATGGGCCGTTTCCACACCTGTCTTACATTCTGTTCGTAACTTTCGAATGAAAAAACGGTAAGTTTGGAAACGTTGGCATCTGGTTCGCACAAGCTCGGACGCCTAGCGCTACATCTGGGCGTAGAGTGAGCGTTCGGCAATACATAGTTCATTTATGCGGGTAAAAAGAAAATTAAAATTGCGTGTGCTAATGTGGAGGGGGAAAGGTGGGGGGGGGGGGGGGGGGGTTCCTGCCAAACATTAGATTTTTTCGTTGTTCGAAACAATGCTGCAGGTCAAGTGTCAACCCCTTCAGCCGCGCCGCCGTTTCCTTTTTTGTCTCGTTCAGTTCTTTTTTATTCTCGGCGACGTGGGAGCTTTTCACTACATCGATTGTCTCTTTGTTTCAAGTCGTACTAAAAACTTTCCGCCTCCTCACACGTGATACTCTTTTCCAGCCAGTCCGGTCC